ACGCAGGTTACATTTCCCTCTAATATGGCAGTGGCGTTCAATAACTCTGACATGCCACTAGAAGGCGACCCAAGTTTTGCGTCCAATCAGCCACACTCTTCTGGCATTCTTTGATTCCACTCCAACTAATAACTACTACCAGAGTTACAGGCATCCATGACCCCGAGGGCACGTTTAATTAGTAATCAATGATTAATAATGGAAGCTAGTCGTTGGTATATAGATGTATCACTCAGTGTCAACGTGGACGCATTTACGAAAAACGGTGCTTACCTGTCGAACACCTATCGCACAGGCTCCCTTATATCAATGTGGTACAGCAAGCACTAAACTACTTCTGTAAGCAGATGTTTTACTTTTGTGTTAGACCGATATCTAACATAGAGGGATCAAGCATGATTTTTCTTTGTTGTTTTTCATTTTCATGCGGAAGCATGACATCACAATAAAGCGCCAACACAAAATTAAACACCAGTTTCGCTATGCCCAGACTATACTGCTCTCAAACATGCTTGCAATTCATGTACCAAGAAACTGCAAATTATCAGAGTAGGGCACCTCGCGAATGAGTTCTAGTCCCATCACTTTTTGTTAAAACACATTTAGAATATGCTCAGTTTTTTATACAGTGCGACTTATCAATTAAATCAAGTAATTCATTCTGTACCTAAACCCTGTAACAACCCCCTGCAGTACCTCTCGGTGGAACAATATTCGGCAGCTTGTGGGTTCGATTCCAGCCGCATTAGTGGCATTTTGATAGATGCAAAACGGTAGAGATCCATGTAGTGTGCAATGTCAGTGCATGTTAAAGGGCCAGTACACAACCCTAAAGTCGAAGAATTGTTATAAAAACAACTATGTGCACTATTGCTTTGAAAACATGCTGCTGCAAAAATTTTGCAAGTACGTGCTATATTAAGGAAGTTACAGGGGTTAGAACATCAATTTCAAATTTCCGTGTGAACTTGCCACCCTTCTTTCTCACAGGGATGGGAAGGCGTAGCTTATCGTCGTGACTGGTTTAGACCAATTGACGAGCTGCGTGCTACATAACGTCACCATTCGGAAACTTTGCATCACTGCACGTGAAAAGAGGATCGGTGAGGCGTGGGAAAGGAGCGCAGGCATTGTTTTTCAAAATGGAGGCTCTGAGCAGCACGCAGTGCCGTAATACTTGAAAAACGTGATCACTGTGGTCTACTCTACGAATTGCCAAGCTTCTTTGGAAAGTGTGAGAATAAGTCCAGACCTGTTGATTGGCGCCTTAAAAAAAAACACCAGATCATCGAAATTACTGGAGCCCTCCACTACGCTGTCTGTCATAATCATATCGTGGTTTTGGGACGTAAAACCGCAGATATTATTATTATTATCATTTAACACCTCTCTGCAGTGGCTTGTGAAGAAGTAATAGTTAAAATCAATGTTAAGTTGTTCGCGATAGGACATTTTGCATTCTGCATACATTCGCTTAGTAATATCTGCACTGACTACATCATTTCTTTTGCATATCATGCCTAGAGATACATGCAGATGAGTTAGGACATGTGTACTATTCAAGATTTATTAATAGTCAACAAGAGGTGACGCTTTTTTTTTTTTTTTGCGCTCCCACAGTGTCAACGAGCAGTGGGCAACGGTTGCTCGTTGGTCAGCTTACATACTGCTTTGCGCGCCCATAGACAGATAGCTCTGGGATTGCTTGAAAATGATCTGTTGCATCGCCGCAATAAGGAATCAACTTCACATGACGGCACTGTGGGAACAGACTCTTCATCTTCTTTTTTCCCTCATCTCATGGCTCTTACCCAATGCAGGGGATTGGCCGATTGTTAGGTGTTTTTTTCTTTGTTTCTTCGCAATACTACTCGTATATGCTAGGGATAGGTTTCACAACAAATAATTACTGAATAATAATATTTAAACGTTTAAAAAAATGAAGAATTTAGCTCTATATTCTTTTAGTCTGACTGATAAATTCCTTTATTGCGTAGTAAACATCCGTGTGACTGTAGCCCAGAGTAGAGGGGCCGAATAATAGAACAACTGATTTGGATATTTCCAGACCCCAGTTTCGAAGAGGTTGTGCTATGAATTCTCTTCTCAATGACGTATAGCGGTGACAGAATTGAAAGTAATGACTGATTGTTTCCTCCTCCTTACAGAAGATACACAGAGGAGACAACGCTTGACATGCTCTACGCAGGTAAATGTTTAGGGAGGTATCCCAGCAGCGAAGTTTGGTTATGGCCACTTCCGATATTTTCGACCGTGATAACTCACTTTTCCAGGGAAATAATAGGTGCTTATATTCTGGAGAAGCTGTCATGACGGGATCCGATAAGCATTTTTTGAAAGTTAAAGTGTGGAATCGTGCAATTGTAATGTATGTTGTCTGTGGGAAAACCGGTATGATTGGCATCAAAAGCGTCGCCTTTGTTAATGAATCAGCGCTTTCGTTTAAAAGCAAATCCTAGTGTCCTGGTACCCAAAATAAGTGGAGACATTGTAGGTGTGCGGGAACTGGTATTCTGAAAAGCTTTAAGAGAGACGTTTCACCATATGCAGAGAGAGAAGAACACACAGATAATGAGTCAGTGATGATTGCTACTGCTCTATTTAAACTGGGTAACTTTAGGAGAGCTAATATTATGGCGATAAATTCAGCTATAAAAACTGGGATAAAATCCGGCAGTCATAACGAGAAATACCAATCAAGTTGAGGGCAGAATATTCTTATGCCAGCTTTTCCTCAGTTTGCGATGCATCTGTTGCAAGAAGCCTAGAATGGGAACAGTTAGGGATAAGAGTTAATCGAGAATACCTCAGTAACCTGCGCTTCGCCAATTACATTGCGTTGCTGAGTAACTCAGGGGACGAATTGCAACTCATGATTATGGAGTTAGACAAGGAGAGCAGAAAGGTTGGTCTTAAAATTAATCTGCAGAAAACGAAAGTAATGTACAACAACCTCGGAAAAGAGCAGCGCTTCGAGATAGGTAATAGTACACTTCAAGTTGTAAAAGACTATGTCTACTTAGGGCAGGTAATAACCGCAGAGCCGAATTACGAGATTGAAGTAAATAGAAGAATAAGAATGGGGTGGAGCACATTCAACAGGCACTCTCAAATTATGACAGGTAGATTGCCACTATCCCTCAAGAGGAAGGTATATAACAGCTGTATCTTGCCGGTACTTAGCTACGGAGCAGAAACCTGGAGACTTACTAAGAGGGTTCAGCTTAAATTGAGGACGACGCAGCAAGCAATGGAAAGAAAAATGGTAGGTGTAACCTTAAGAGACAAGAAGAGAGCAGAGTGGATTAGAGGACAAACGGGGGTTAAGGATATCATAGTTGAAATAAAAAAGAGGAAATGGACATGGGCCGGGCATGTAGTGCGTAGACAGGATAACCACTGGTCATTAAGGGTAACTAACTGGATTCCCAGAGAAGGGAAGCGGGTTAGGGGGAGACAGAAGGTTAGGTGGGCAGATGAGATTAAGAAGTTTGCGGGTACAAATTGGCAGCAGCAAGCACAGGACGGGGTAACTGGTGGAACCTGGGAGAGGCCTTTGTCCCACAGTGGACGTAGTCAGGCTGATGATGATGATGATGATGTTGCAATATCCACATACGTCGGCAGATTACTTAGATGCTCTTTTAATATTCCATTTAAAATTCCGTTAGGTAATAATTTCGCATGGTTCGGAAAAATATTGTGGTAGACAATGTCTGTGAATTTGGGTTCCATGGTCAAAGGACGCACATAATGAATTTATACATTCAGGGAATCGAGTGATGTTTGTGCAAATATGATTTGTGGCTTGCGGAATCTAGGCCAGTGCTCGGAGAAAGATACATCGGGATTGGAGATGAAAATTATTTGAGTATGATTAGACAGTGTTTCGTACAACCGTAAGAAAGTCTGCATTGTAAGTAGATTAAATCGGTTTAACAGGGGTGGTGTTCTCACTTCCAAGCATAATACTGCATTCGCCACATATTTTGGAAGGCCTAAGCACAGCCGTAAAGCCTCTTGCTCCAATAGCACTTGTGGCGGAAGCTGATATGCTGGCACACCGGAAAAAAGAACACAGCCAAATTCCAATACCAGTCGTACGTACATTTTGTAGACCATCAAAAGTGCTTTTCTTCTCATACCCGATCTGCGGCTGCTCAGCCTGTGCAATACACCCATTGCCCATGCTTCTTTTATTGTGATATATTTAATATAAGCTTGCCAGTTTAGTTGTTCGTTATATATTACTCCGAGGTATTTTAATGATTACACTTGTGGGATATCCTACAGCTTGTAAGTCAGAGATATTCTCACCGGGTCATTAACCAGAAAAACTGGAATAGCACACTTATTGGTATTAAGACTTAACTGCAGTCCATCTAGCCACTTCTCGAGTTCACTGAAATACGACTGTAAAGTTTTGTAAAGGCGATGTATATCAGCAGCCATACCAAAAACAGCAATGTTGTCCACATAAACATAAGTCTGCACCCCTCATCGAATAGGAATAGTACACATCAAGATGTTGAATAATACTAGTGGAAGTACTGATTCCTATGGCACGCCTCGGGTCTGCTTGTGCTTACAGGAAGAAAAGCCACTTTTGATGCAGTAAAACTCCCTTTCCTTTAAAAAATTCTGTCACCCATGCTACAATATAAGGAGGAAGTCCATGGCACCGTAAACAATTTTTTGACACAGAATGTTCGACACTATCATATGCTTTATTGATGTTTAAGGTAACTAACGCAGCGTACTGTTTTTTATGCCGGGCAATGTGAACCGGACTTTCGAGGTCTACGTGCGCATTCCAGATTAAATGTCCAGATCTAAAGCCAATTTGGCTGGGGCTAAACAGCTGTTGGTCATTTACAAATCTTATTACACAACCATGAAGGACCCTTTCAATAAGTTTCACTACATTTGATGTTAATGCTATTGGTCCTATATTGTCAATATTAAATCCAGCCACTCACTTGGACGAGAACAAAGTAGCGCTTCTTCCACTTCTTCCACACTTGCTTGCCTTGTGCATACAGGTAGCTGGAGGAAGGAGAAGAAAGCATCACAACCATCAATTGTTTACTGTAGGCTTGTGCAAATTGAATATTTTAGGTTTGGCCCAAACACTAAGTGAATGGAAATTCGGTTAGACCATCATCATCATCATCATCATCATCAGCCTGACTAGGCCCACTGCAGAGCAAAAGCCTCTCCCATGATACATCTATCAAATTGGTCTTGTGCTTTCCGTTGCCATGTTATACCTGCGAACTTTTAAATGCAAAGAATTTCTTAGCAAACTTCAGCGACATTGAGCGTATCTATCTATCTAGCTGCTTACGTTTGGGTGCTCTCGTGGTCACCCCTTAACTTGGCATGAACCAAAATCGGCAAGGGAGGGTAAAATGGCTTGACGAATATCACACGCTGGTCAAGACATGAGTAATGTCACAATCCGGTCGCGTACCTTGTCAAGCACTTCCAGCCAGGCAGTGGCACATACCCACGGGCGAGTATGTGCCACTTGTATGGGGGTATGTGCCATAGGTGATAGACACTTAGAATCTACCCAGGAACGACGAGAACACACATGGGCAATTTTAACCCACGAGCGTTAAGAAATACCTGACATCGGTAGTGTCGATCCGACGAATGCAAAGAATAAATGTCAGGCTCCCAGCTGGAATCAAACGCAAGCATTCTGCGTGGCAATGAAACATTTTGCCACAGAGCTACACCAGGTCTCAGAAGTACTTTTCTAATAGACACTAATCTTCATGAAACGTCAATAGCGGTGACAGTGCTGCCTACCCAATTTTATAAACATTGCATATGTACTCCTTTGATACCGCCGTCACGTCGGGTTAACGTCAATTGTGGTTAGTTGCCATGCGCTGAAGTTGATTTATGTTGTAGTGTCCAGGGCCAGCACCTTTGCAAGCATCAGCACTTCATGTCAGCTTCTGGTGTTGCTAATACGCATGTTCCAGTTGGCATTATTGCACAAGGCAAACAACTGGTTATATAAACATATGCAACTCTTCAACATATGCCTGTGCATTATTTAATGACATTTAGCATCATTTCATGACGTGTCGCTCAATAAAAAAATTGCAATACGGTCACCTCCCTCCACATCCTTCGCAAACGCCGATTCCCAGGTATGTGAGATCTGCCAAAATTTTTAAAATCTCAATGAACCACCTAACTTTCTGTCTCCCCTTCGTGTGTTTACTTTCTCTGGTAATCCATTCAGCTACTCTTAATGACTAGCGGTCATCCAGCCTACCTGCCTGGCCCATGTCCATTTCTTCTTGATTTTGACTATTATATCCTTAACACCGGTTTGTTCACTGACCCACTCTGCTCTCTTCTTGTCTCTTAAGGTTACACCTATCATTTTCCTTTCCATCAGCAAACTCTGACATTTCGAATAAAAAAATCACAGCATATCCACAGAGTGAATGATGATGAGTAGGGAGAAGCGTCCGTCAGCCCATCCTTGCTTCCGTCCTTCCGTTCGTTCTTGCTTCCGTCCATAGATGCGTCCATCCGTCGGTACGTCCACGCGTCTGTCCATCTGTCTGTCAGTCTTCTAGCCTCTCTGTCAGTCCATCTATGCGTCCATCTAGTGAACACTCTAAGTACCGTCATCTCGCATCCCCTGTGGCACATACCCACTATGCGCATCTGTCCGTCCGTCCGTCCGTCCGTCTGCTAGCCTGTCTGTCCATCCATCTATGCGTCAATCTAGTGTACCGCCATCTCCCATCTCACATCCCGGTGGCTACATACGACAACAACGAAGGCTGGACAGACCTACGCCTTAAGGAGCTTCGCCCCTAAAATATATATATCACATATTGTCAGGAAAAATGATCATATTTGTCATGACAACCTGCACAATGCTCTTTCTTAATTGAAACAAGACATGCGCAAATGTTATTCTTTTTGGTTCAAAGGAATTCTGGAAGCAACTTTTGGTAGAATGGAGATGATAGGCTGAAGAATACATTGTGCTTTAAAATTTACTTAGAGCATATAAGCACAGGTAGCAAGCTTTTAAACCCAAGAATTGATTAATCAATGTGAGCGCAATATGGTCACGTAACCTTAAAATGGGGCTTCGTGGCTGTGCAGATTTCCCCATAATTCACGGTACAGCACCTCTCAACAGCAGTACACCACCTTTACAGGGGGGATACTTGCAGACTAATATGCACATATTTGTTCATTTCGAATCCTTTGAAATTTGCAATAATTTTCTAATAATTTAAATTTGAATCAAAGTGAATTTGAATACTGCAATATATGAAGTGCTCAAATATTTGCAGAAGACTAGCTTTGTGGTCAGGTCAGCTTGTGCACATAGTAATAGTTGCCATATGCAGCTCGAAGTGCATTATAGGAGGTTGGCATGAAGCCAGAGGAGCAAGCAAATCTGATAATAATTAGCCCACGTGGTTCCCAATACAATATTGTCATGGTAATACAATGAATGAACGTGTCAATATGCATTCATTCAATGGTGACAATATGAGCTTTGTCTTTGAGCTCATTCACTAGAGAAGCACTGCTCTTTCCCAAATGTAATTGCCATCATGATGATGGTCTCAATGACAATGGTCTTACTGCCATCTCCTTTTGCCAAAAACACAGTAGCAGGACAAAAATGTGGTGCATCATACAGCTCAAGAGCAGAACACAAACCTAAAAGTAGTGACCCACTGTAAGCACACCCTGCTATCAAACCGCATAATTCAAACCTTAATATAACGAGTTATCAGTTATAAAAGAATATTCCTGTCAGAGTCATTGAATACTTTTGCTGGTCGTGACTGCCAAAACTCTATGGGAGAGCGTCGCGTGCTGCAAGTGGAGAATGCGGGACGGCTGAAACCAGCTAGCCCGCATCAACAACGCAGTTGAGACACACCACCATTAAGCCCCAGCTTCGCTGCTCAGCCATGCGAGAACTATTATGAGGAATTTAATTTCTACTTTGTGTGTGTTCACAAGTGTTTTACCACATGCTGTGAACATTTTACTACGTATTGTGGGGTCTAGAAGTGGTAATCGCCACCAGGCAGGTAATAGACGGCTTGCTGGATGAGATGCTCTAAGCTGGTATTGTTCACCGTTCGTCCAGCGCCTGGGCATCTCCAATTGTGTTGGTGCCTAAGAAAGATGGCAGTCATCGCCTGTGCGTAGGCTACCGCTGCCTGAATGCAGTGACTTGTAAGGATACCTATTTGCTCCCCACGATTAGCTCCATTGTAGGAAACCTCGGCAATGCACGGTACTTTACCACATTAGATGCCTCCAAAAGTGTTGTACAGGTCCGGATGGATGAGCGTTACCGGTGCAAGACTGCGCTCACGTCTCACAGAGGGTTATATTTGAGTTCCCTCGTATGCCCTTTGGTCTTTGCAATGCTCCTGCGACTTTTCAGAGACTCATGGACCACGTCCTCAGGGAAGCAAAGTGGTCTTACTGCATGTGCTACCTCGACGACATCGTGATTTGTTCACGGACCTTCGAAGAACACTTGGCCCACATTGCCAATGTGCTCGAGAGAGTGAAAGCCACCGGGATGACGCTAAATCCCGCAAAGGCCCAACTAGCGCAAACCCGAGTTCAGTTACTTGGCTTTACGCTGGGCGAAGGCTTTATTGAGCCAGACCGGGAGAAACTTCTAGAAATCCTCGATTTCCTCGCGCCCAAGGACGTACGCGGCCTGCGCCGCTTTTTCAGAATGGCCAATTTTTACTGGTCGTTCATTCCGTCCTGTGCACGAGTGCAGGCTCCCTTGACCAAGCTCTTGGGTAAGTCAGCTGAGTGACAGTAGGGGCCTGCGCAGCAAGAGGCATTTTGCTGTCTGTCTAGCGCCATTGCAAAGACAGCACAGCTCAAGCTCCCCGACCTGACCAGACCCTTTGTTGTCCAGACTGGCGCAAGCTATCTGGGATTAGGAGCAGTTCCCCTACAGGAATACGATGGTGTGTTGCAGACGTTGGCCTTTGCCGGCCACTCATTGATACCGAAGCTTGCCTCCGGCTCCTCTACTTTGCGGCTCCGTCCATTCCATTTTTCCCTTCTTGAGTTGGTCGGCCAGATTCACACTCATTATTGAAAAGTCTGCACCAGTGTCGACCAGTGTCGTCACGTCGTGACCGTCAATTGAAAGTGTAATGTCGGCGGTGACGATCTCGTCTTTAGTCAATTCATTCGAAATGTGCGGCGCTTCATGCAGCGGTAATGGGGAATTTTCGACTCTTCAGCAATTCGCAACCTTCCCCCCTAAGGTCGCTGCTTTTAGTTTCCCTGGCGTGAACTGGGAGATCTTCCTCTCCGCTGCGAAAGTTTGGTGTCAATCTTGATGGGACGAAATTTGTGGTGCAAACAGGTCACAGAATGCTTATCTGGCTGATGCGGCTCCATAAGTTTGCAGGCAGGCTAGCGCGCTGGGCTCTCCTAATACAGCATTATGACTTTTCAGTGCAGTATCGGAAGGGGAGCACTAACGTGGTAGCTGACGTGCTATCTCGTGCCTCAGTGTCTACCGGGAGCCTAGATATCGGTTCGACAACCGTTAGCGGTGTCTTTGCGCAAGAGAGTGACGTGGGCGAAACGGCGACAAAGCCACCGAGTGGAGAAAGGGGTGAGTGTGCCGACGAGCAAACCCATTCCGCAGGCCAGGAAAGCAGCGCGGCGCAAAGTGGGCGAGAGGGGGAGCGAAGAGAAAAGAACCCATGACGCCAACGCAAGCGGATGCGATGGCTGCGGTTCTGAGGGAGAAGAGGAATCACTTTCAGCAGGCCAGAGTTACTGAAGGCCCAGCAAGATGATTCGGTTTGTCGCGACGGTCTCAGGGAGATGGAGCGCCGAGACGCTGCTGGTAGTGAGGTGGGCGCAGGGGGACGGGAACCGGCGTGTGTTGCTCGGTGCCCCACGGATGCATATACTTGCTGGACTATGATGGACTTCTGCTGAAATACATAGCCATCGAAGAGGAGTCCGAGGACCCGTTTAGAGGTGGT